TATATAGAAAAATGTTTAATATATTTTTTGTAGAGAATTTTACGACACATCTTTTAAGAAAACAACAAAGTTTAGGGGATAAAATCCAATTAAGCTATGAGCAAAATACTAAGTGACCGCTTTATTCTGGAACACCCGTTAGGCAGTATCCTTTTCGGAAAATTAGTCCATCTTAAAGTTCAAGTCGACTACTTTACATTCGTTAAAAATTGGAGAACGGGTGCCTTTTTAATTAAGGCTACTTTAATTAGTTAACTTGTAAGAAAATCAGGAAAATTTCTAGTGTATCGTTTTCCTTTCGTTGGAAAGAAAAAATCTTCATAATGCGGTAAAATTGATTATTTGATTTGAAAACGGATATATAGCTGTAACTGATGTTTATAAATAGATAAAATACGGTTCAGCTTTAAATTGTGTTAGATTGTGTAACTGATAATTAAAAATGAAAATTTGTTCTATTCTGTACATAGAAATGTATCCGATTTCTTTCATTCAGTCAAACCGGAGAAAGAAAAAGGAAAGAGAATGATATTGATCTATATCATCTACATGTAGACTTATTTTGACGGCTTCCATTAGGAAGAAGTTAGCAAGCAGTTACTTTAATTAGATTAGGGTGGCTCTTCTGTCGAAAGTCTATATTGAACTATTCTTAATCGGCATGAAAAAAAGATAAAAATGGCTGTTTGTAGTTAAACTGGAAATTTTTCGGATGAGTCTGACAAAAAATTCAATTTTATTGATTACCTTCTGTTTCTCAGTTGCTAAAAAGAATAGATCATTATAGTACTGCTGTAGTGACTTTGTCTCAGAAAAAAAACCTTGCGATGCTATTAGTAATAGTAAGAACCGAAAAAAAAGCCTTTTTTAGCTTTTTAAGGCGACTAGTCGTCTTTGAGTTATCATCAAATGCAAAAATAAACTTTTGTGTTCCTCTTTGGGCCTTCTATAAGTCAAGAATGTCGCTTAAGGGTACGCCCACCTCTTTGGGCTTTCCGTAGAAATGCTGTGAAATAAAAACTAAAGCTCATTACGGCTTCACATTTTCAGAACTAATTAAAAACTCAGTGGAGCACTTTTCCGTTTTTATTTCAAGTTTTTAACTATTGCCGATCACCAGCTTTCCATAAAACTCGTTGAATCACATTACGACCCCCCCCTCTTACATTTCATCCGATCAAGTTAAAAATTTTACCACAGCTACTCAAGGTCATACCGTAGAAGCCTTTTTTGGGATATGTACTTAAGACCTTTCCTGGTTGAGTAATAAAAAAATTACTGAAAAACATCTCAAAAACTAAGTTTTTCAATTTTAGAAACCTTATAACTGGGTAAAGAAAGATCTAAAATAAAATTTCTTCAATTAAAATTCGAAATATAGGAAGAATTTTTGTTACGTCACATAAAAGCATACGTCATATTTGTCCCGAAAAAAAATGTCCTTTCTAAAATGTCCTCATATAAATGTCCTTTCTAAAATGTCCTCGACATAAAATGTCCTGGGAAGAATGTCTCGTGGTGAAAATGTTTCTATGGGAAAAGGTCCTGGGAAAAATGTCCTCTGTCGGAAATGCCCCAGAAAAAATGTCCTTCCATGTTACTTGTATCGATCTATTTCGCCATATATATAGAGATCAGAATACGACTAAACAATGTGTATATTCTTGTAACTGACTAAACAATATGTATATTCTTGTACAATTCTCTTTCTAATATCAAACTGCCTGACTTAATCTGTCGAGAGATATACAATGTCTGTAAATATATTTTAAATATGTGTTTTGTTTCGCTTGATGTCCTTCTATTTTCGTACGAATAAGTACATCTTGGTTCTATTCCTTGAGAGAGATATAAAATTAATAGATCTTGAAAAGGAAAACAAAAGAAAATGAAAAAGAAAAAAAGAAAATAAGAACACGCGAGTAACAATAAAGAAAAGGTCTAAGCATTCACACTACAATAAATCTGCATACGTTATATATGTAACAGAATTTTAACTTCTGGCTTCACAAAAATTAACAATGGCATCATCGTCGTCGTTGTCTACACAATCCACCCCATCTTCTTCATTGTTATCGATATCAGCTAAACCTATTATTACAAAAACAATATCGAACAAAGGACGAGATATGTTAGTTATCGATGGATTCGAATTTCAATTGAAAAATTCTGCCAAAACTATACAGATTTGGCGTTGTGCTAACAGAGATTGTGGTGTTATTTTGCATACAAATATTCATAATGAATTTTTACGTTATTCTGGAAAAAGTACGGAACATTGTCATTTACCAAATACAGCCCGAGTAGAAGTTCGCAATGTTAAACAGTTAATGCGAGAGCGTGCCAAAAATGATTTAGCACCATTACAACAAATCGTTGAGCAAGAAGTGAGAAAAGCATTGTTAACAGCAGAAGCTCTTGCATTATTGCCCAGTATGCTAGATATGGGTAACATTGATAGGTCGATGTTTTATGTTTGTTTATATGGATGTGTGTCTTTTCAGGTCATACATTACTGCAATTTCGTCGTAAAATGACTCCTATTCTTCCAGATTCATCGTCATTTGTTATTCCACTTCAATATACAAGAGATTATCATAACAATCAGAGATTATTACTTCATGATAGTGATGATCCTCTATTTCGAAATAGTCAAGCTGTACAACCACGTGGAAGAGTATTAGTTTGGTCGTCGGATACTCAACTCGAGCTGTTGTTCGATAGCGATCGCGTATTTATGGATGGCACATTTAGTACATGCCCACCTCACTTCGACCAAGTGTATATCATACATGGAATTGTACATGACACATGTAAGTTAGCTTGGTTTAGACAAATATTTATCTATTCATCTACTGATTTTTTTGGTTTTTTTTCCTTGCTATACTTGTAGGTTTACCGGTGGTCTATGCTCTACTTCCGGATCGTTTTGCAAGTACATATGTGTATTTAATCAATGTCTTGTTTGCTGAAGCAGCTCGATTAAACAAAAAATTTGAACCGTCGCTGATAATGAGCGACTTTGAACCTGCTCTTGCAAAAGCAGTTACGCTTGAGGTACTATTTTTTATCACACCAACCCTCGCTTTTAATTGAAACTATTTGCATCGTTTTTTTTTA